GTGTTATTAAATGGCCAGCGATAAACGGCTGATCAGTTCGGGGAAAGCTCGCGTGATAGGGCTAGGCGCTGGGGGGGGGGGGAAGGGTATCTGGGCAGGAGGGGGAGGAGTAACTGGGCAGGAGGGGGGAGGGAAAAGCTGGGTATAAAGAGGGGAAGGGAGTCAGCAGGCGGTGGGGTAGCTGGGCGGAGAGGATCAGCTGGACGGAAGGGGGAGGACCGGTAGGGGAAGGGGGTAGGAGATCAGCTGAGTGGGAGGGGGGGGAGGGATCAACTTGCCGGCATGAATTTTTAAAATGAACTTCACACTTTATCGCCAGCGATATCCTGGATATGAAACCCCGTTTAGCCAAGAGACACAAGGAATCTATATAATAATAATTATCATTACAATATCCAATAACAACAATAATGCATATGCTTGAACCAAGAGAAATGACAAAGAATAAATTCACATAAAATAAATAACACATAACAGTAATTCACGCATATCAAATCAAATGAAACACAAAACATAAGGAAAATAAGTGTTAGAAATGTACCCCGGACGTGGAATAAAAAAAAAATCCCTCGAAATGACATGAAAATTAAAACATAAAAAGGCGGAAGATAAAATGAATAAAAAATATAATAACAAAAACAATAACCCAATATCTAAGCAACCAGACCTTTCCTTAGATAACAAAACCCCCCGAACAAGCAAGGAATGACGTCACACCGCATAAACAAATGCGCTGTGAAATTTCTCCCGCGAATCCGACTCGGGTCAACGGAATAACATTTCTCAGCTGCACGGAAAAACAAGGATTTGATTTCATCCTTTTTTTTCATTTTAGATCCCAATTCTCCGATGTACTCAGCCTGCGCTCATGTTTAAACCAAGGCGGAAAAGACAGGACGAGGAATTTACGGCGCACTCCCAACTTTGTCCCTTCCTCCCTTGTTATCCCTGTTTTATTTTTCTTTCTCTCTCTCCGTTTCTCTATCTCTGACTCGTTTTCTTTCTACATATCTCTTTCTCTTTGGTGGTGGTGGTGATGATTGTAGTGGTGGTGGTGGTGATGGGTGGTGAGTAGTGTCAAGAATATCGTTCCACACATCCGCCCGTGGTCGAAACGGAAGCTGTACCTTCCTGTCGCAGTCCTCCTGTGTGCACATCACCAGAGGAATCAGCCGATTCGTACCTGCCACATCCGAGCCTGGTTGACCTAAGGTGACCTACACCCCCCCCCCCCTCGAGCACGCCCTTTGTCTAGGCTGAAACAAGCATCTCCCGGAGCCAGCATAAGAAGACACGTTCGTCAGGCAGAAGGAGAGGAGACGGAGACACGGCAGAGAGCGGGCAGGAAGACAGTCTCGCTCTTCGACCCGGGGCTCGGGTCTCTCGTGGAGTCACACATTTACCTCCCCTAATAAACCCTCCAGCAAAGTCCCCTTTCATTCACCTGCTCACTACGCCCTCAGCCTCTTGCGTTGACATCTGGCGGCTGGCAGTGGGCGACCCTCTCGGCCCAGCCTCTTGCGTTGACCAGGTCGTAGCGGTGCGCGGTGAAATTTGTGATGGTGACGGTCACGGTGGCATGGGTGATGAGGACACTAGAGACCGTGGTGGTCTGGGTGATGACTAATATGGTGACCGGGTGAGTGGTGAGAGCCGTAGCGTTGGGGTAATGATATCCGAGGTAAAATGGCACACAAATCTGAGCAAAAATTACAAAAGGGGCGTGGTCGGCAATGCATAGGCTGAAAGAATAAACAATCGACTGAAACTTGAGAAAGGCTTGACTGGACGAAAAACAACCATAAGGGTTTCCGTCGAGAGAGAAACTCTGGGTACGCGAAAGAAATACCAACCAAGATGGTACCTATTGGGAGTTTACTGGTTATGAAAGTACCAAACCACGGTAATAGCAGACTGTAACATACACGCGAGTACCAATCAAAATGGCACGGACCAAGCAGGGGGTAATCGCGACGCTATGAGCATGGTAGCGAAATGGTATCAAACAAAACACCGAGTACCAACCAAAAGGCCACCAACCAAAACAACACAAACCAAGAAGGTACCAAACATATGGGATTGCTCACCCCGATACTTTTAATCCACGTAGGGTACAAAACAAGGATGCACACCGAAAGAGGAGACCAATCACAGGATACCAAGCACAGGATGCCAAACAAGAGCACACGGAAGATAATAATAAAAAAAACAATAATGATCATCACAAACGTCCTAATCAAGGAGATACCAATCCTGAGGGTCAAAGACGATACCAAATGGCCGGTCTTCCTCGTTGTATACGTTGTCTTATCGCTTATCGCTTATCGTTGACTGATCCTTTGGAGATTAAACACAGATTACGGACGGGTGTGAAGATAAGCTCCAGTGCACTTTGATAAATGAAGAAATATATTCGTACGTGAAGAATGTTTGCAAGTCAAGTACAAGAAAGAAGCAGAAGAAGAAAGAGAAGAGGAAAAAGAAAACAAAAGAAGAAAGA